AGGGTAGCGACGAGGGGAAAAGGGGGGAGCAAAAAATCGACCCTCCCCCCACCCCTCCTTCCATTAGACCGCCCTGGACCCGCCTATGGATGCAGTAACAGACAAGGTAACTGGAAAAATTGCCAACTGCACTGTCGTATAACAAAACTGTGAATTAACAACTCTCCCAGATATTCGAGACCTGAGAATTTCCACCTTTTCCTCATTGTCCCCTTCCTCGCCTTTTTCCCCTGCCACCCTCGCGACGGGAATTACGGCACTCCGCTATCTTTTAACATCCCAAACACATTCTGTGCCGAAATATGCGAAAGCACTTACTTTCATCAGCGAAAAAACCCGCAATTTTCCTCCACTTTGTTGAATCTTCGAATGAAGAGATTGAGGCAGCGGAAGAGCGCTGATCATGACTTTCCGCAGTACCAGAGTCGGGCGGCCTCTTTTCTCTCACGTCCTCTAAAAATACAAATTTTTGCATGGATTTTGTGCAATGGATTTTTCATGCGTTTTGTGCAATTCAGCCCATCGGACGATTGCCTATTAATGATTTTCACTACTTTGTACTTTAGTCTGTGCAAAAATAGTTCAAGCACTGGAAAACAGTTAAAAATTTCACACAACAGCGCATGAAAGCAGAATTCGAAATCTCGGAGGGATGAATATCTTTCCGTGATTCCCGAGTTAATAGTTTATCTGCCAAAATTTTCACGAGGCCGTAGGTTGTACCCGAGAGCGCGAGAACGCTGAATTTGAATGGGCAAGGTTGAGCGTGGGCAGTGGGTCATTACCCTAAAATTTCAGCCTCCTAGACTTCGTGGTTCCCGAGATATTAACTTACCCGTGAAAAACTTTCACGGGGCCGTACGTGTTATCAGCGGGTAAGGGGGAACTGAATTTAAATTTGCGGGGTCACACGTGGGTGGGGCACGTTCCCCTAAATTTTCAGCTTCCTGGCTTTTGTGGTTCCGGAGTCTTTTTTCCTAGCTTTTGTGGTTCACTGTGGCCAAAAACTGGTTAAGTTTAGGGCCAGCTGATAATATTCCGGAAAAGACTAAAAAATCGCCATATGCTTCTGATGGGCGAGTTGTTAACTTGGCAAGACGAAACAAACGTCAGGACCACCAGCACTGGTCAAAGCTGTATGCTGAGCAGAAGTACAAACGAAAGTGAGCACCTGTAGGTCTGGAGAGGCAGGGGAAAATCGAGCGCAGCATCCCCAGCATGCCACCAGTGCCGTCGCCGCCGCCGCCATCCTGCATCAGAGTGCTGAAGAGAAACACCAAAAAGTAAGCAAACTACAGAAAGAACAGAAACGCCAGAACTACCGGAAAAAACAAAACTTCGCTCCTCCAGCCTCCTCTCGCGCTCACAGCTCAACGACGCACAGCTGAAGCCACGATACGCTAGCGCATCCCTCACAGCAAGAAACCCACAGAAGCCTGGACCACAGGAAATTAACAAACCGGAGGGTAATTACTAAAACTTCTAACATCAGGCCAATCACAATAACC